AGATACAACTATTTGAAAATCTGGAATCTGAGGGTGCAAAAAAAACAAAATATTGAGAAAATCGCCTTTAAAGTTGTTCAAATTAATTTTTAGCAATGCATATTACTAATAAAAAATTTAGTTTTAATATATTTAAAGTAGGAAATGTACAAAATATCTTCATGGAACATGAGATATTTTTCTTATATAATACACTCTTTATTTCAGGGTCGGGAGAGGTCGTCTCCAGACCATCGTCGATACTCGATGATGGACCCATCTGCTTCAGACACAGAGGTGGCCCATCTGCGTCAAAGGCTGCTGAGCACAGAAGATGCCCTGAGGAACGCTCTGGAACACAACCAACACGTGGACCAGCTAGTGCAGGCCATGCGCACCCGTCCGGACAAGAACCAGGTAAACAGCAGACAGTTAGCACCTCACCTCAACCTACTACTGTTCCTGACTATTTCTCCAGTGGACACTACTTTTGTTTTGCATACTAACACAGTCTAACAGTGTAATAAATATTAAAATGTTCTGTTTTTTACTCTTTCTTTATGCTCACAGGCACATGCTGGTGCAAATTCTGCAAACGGAATCCATCAAGAAGACACTTCCTTCACACAGGGGGTTAATAGATCTTTGTTCATAAAGAATTCAGAATCCTAATATTTCTATATCATCCTAAACTCTGTTTCTCTGTCTAGGAAGAACACTGATGAGGGCTAAAACAGTTCTCAGGTGTTTAGGGAAGAATGGAGGTGTATTGGGAAAAGATGAAGCCAATTTGATGCCTAGACGTTTGGACTAATGCTTCAATGGACATCTCATCTTCTGTTTACAGTTAACACCAAAACAATGACTTTATAGAGGAACAAACAGAAACCACAAATCGAAGAGTATCTAAAAGGATCTGAGATGCTATAAAAAGACATAACGGAAGTGGTTTTTAAGGTCAGTGGTACAACACGGACAAACTGACACACCGACCCTGTAGACTACCTCCGAGATGGACAGTGATGTCTGACTTAACAAATGAGAGAATGTTGGTCAGGATACTTGAATCCTCGGAAAAACCAATACCCTGCTATACTCTCAGTTGGCTGTAACAGTTTAGAAAACATTTTTGGCCTCAATTTATACTGTTTAATTTATTTGCCATTTATGCTTTTTAAAAATGGTATATTCAAAGAGATAAACTGGCCAACTCCCAGCAAAAGGTTTGAAGGTCTTGGGCTGATCACTGGTCACTAGATACTGTAGCAAACAAGTAAATAAAACAGACAGGCTCCGTTATTCCATACCTGCTCATTTCTGTGTTGATTTTTTTTTTTTTTTGAGACATGAATTTTAAAGTATGAATTATACAGTATTCAGCAACCATGTTCAGCAGAATTAGCAAGTTAAGATGCACCGTGAAGCTTCAAGAACCAGTATTGCAGTTTCAGTCAATATTAGCGCATACCTTTTTAATATTATAAAATATTAGCATACAATGGCAACTCCCAACCTGTAGTTCAATTCAAATGAACATTGAACCAACAGCTTTTGTTTCTTGTTTTGAATCATTTTCTGAGTCATTTCATTCTTTTAAATCAGTTGGAGGTGAGAATTGGAGAATATTTTCTTGATGGGCTTAAGAGGAGGTATTACATGCACAAGTGACATGAATTGAACAATTTTGAGACTCTATGAACTATTTTGCATTGAAATGACATTTTGATCATATAGCAAATGTTTTACCGTTTTGCTCAAATGATATTGCTGGATTTTCATTAGCATTTAATTTTATCTTTAGAAAAGTGTGAAAAGCATGTTAATTAACATGCACACATCATTTTATTTAATGCAGTAAAAAAAATAGCATATTTAAAATTTTTGTCATATGCAAGGATCACCTGTAGTACCTCCCGTTAAAAGATCAAAGAAGACTGTTTAGCATTTTCTCTCTGATCCGATTTCTCTGTCTGTCCAGATCTTTGTAGTAACAAATCTGATGTTAAAACAGAAACGGTACAAAACATAACTGCAATCCCATAAATCAGTGTCTGCTCAATGGTATTCCGGAATTTACTCTCTCCTTTGAAAAACCATGTGGATGAAATACTGTGCAATTAGGTCACGTTTGTTCTTTAAGCAACTTTATACTGATGTGATTGCCATTAGAACCAAGAAAGCATTTGTTTTCAAAAAGAATAGGGAAAATGATAGGGCTGGCCCCAAGTTTTGCAGTTGAAATTTCTTTAGATTGCAGCTGGATTCGATACAAATGCCTTTTATCCGTTGGGAAACAGTTCACTCACCACTTGCTGTAATGGTTCCCAAGAATCGGTTATTAAAAATTAACAAAAGAGACACTTTGTAGTGTGTATTATTTGTAACAAATGCTTTCCTTTCATTCTCAAAACGGAAGGGTTGTACATAAGCACTTTTCAATTCACCACTATATACAATATGTGAAAGAATTGTATATTATATATATATATACTGTATATATATATACACATGTATATATATATATATATATATACTATGGAAGTCAATGGGGACCCACCTTCTTCAAAATATCTTTTGTGTTCAGCAGAAAAAAATACATTTATACAGGTTTGTAAAGGATGACAGAATTTTCATTTTTGGGTGAACTAACCCTCTAACTAGTACCAATAGTTATAGTTCTTGTAATGGTATCTACAGTAGGTTAGTAGGATGGACAAAAATGGGGGGAAAAATACTATGGAAGACAATGGCTGCCGTCAACTTTTTGGTTATCCACATTAAATTAAACCTGACATTTTTAAGTAAAACACTAAAACAGTATTTTCTTGTAAAGCATACTTGAATAATCTTTGTTTTATTTACAGCATATAAAATACTTGTTATAGTGTAGTCTTAGCCCCCAATAAAAAACTTTGCAGAAGAAAATCATTATTTTATGAGGAACTAGAAACATGCAGATCAGAATTCATATTGACTGTTACGAGTTTAGAAGATAAATATGTATCACAAATATTAAAAATAATATTTTCAAGAAAATAATTTTGTAATTTATCAATTCAAGTTTCTATTAATTTCCCAGTATCTTTTGGATAAAAGATAAATGAGATCTCACTTCTGAGCATAATGTTATTCAGTTATCTAATCAAACTGTAATTTTCTCACATATGCAAAAAGTGATTTATGACAAATAAATAAATTAAATTAAATGAAGTAGTGAGAGTGTGTGAAAAAATAAAAATAGCCTTTTCCTCAAAATCCACTGGGCCAAATGTGCTCATAGTTTTAAAATACCATATATCACAAGCTTAATAAGAAGTTATCAAAGGAATTTTCATTCCACAAATCATCATGAAGACATGAGCCAATATATTTTTTAAGTCAAACTGGTCTGTGTATTGTAAGTGCAATATATAAGAGCAAAATATGTAGGCCATATGAGCACCAGGGCCATCTGAAGATACATATCTGCAAGCAAGAACATGATTTCCACCAGCAAATCTAATGAGCAGCCGCTACAGAATGACAGAGGTGAGGGATAAACGCATTACTATGTTACGCCGGTAGGTGGAGACATAACATAAAACAAATCAGCCAAACTGTCGAAGGCTGTTCTGTTGATCTCTAGCCTTTGTTGTTGGACAGCAGTTGGTGATCACAGATCATCATCAATGCTGCCTTAATATTTTGTGTCACGTGCTAGACTTCAAGAACTGTACTGTACAAAATGACTATTATTAGGCCTACATTGATATGACATTTTAATATATACAAAACATGTTACATTATAATTATTCCAATAATAGGTTACTTACATTTTTAATTGTACTGTAATTTTAAAAGGTTGTAGCTACTGTGACCAAAATGCAACATTTTGAAATGTACTAAACATGTTTTGTGTTTGCTGGGTCCTATAAGCATAACCGGTTTAAATATGGTGCATATCCTCTAAACATCCTGATGTCTCTCAGGTATTTTTAACAGTTTGTCATTGTGGGCCACACCTAGAAATTTAATTGGTTTAAATCAACATTTTTTTTTGCCATGATTCTAACTATTTTATAGACAGAAATTACATCTGAGACATATGTTTTGTTTGTCTTGACCCAGGAATTCAGAGAAATTTTGATCCTGAACTCCTGGCAAAAAATGTACAAATAGTTATCATAGCGCCACCTAGTATTAAATAAATGTGTGTATTTGGGAATTGGGACCATCCCACCAAGTTTGTAGACAGTTTTAGTCAAATAAATAAATAAATACGTGCACTTTTGGTTATTTAGACTACTAATAATAAGAAAACGGACACAATAGAACCATTCGAATAACAAACTCATCCATGGTTAAGAGTGGGATGATTTAAACCAGGGGTCTCCAAACTCGGTCCTAGAGGGCCGGTGTCCTGCAGAGTTTAGCTCAAAACACCTGCCTGGAAGTTTCTAGTATGCCTATAAGATCTTGATTAGCTGGTTCAGGTGCAGGACACCGCCCTCCAGGACCGAGTTTGGTGACCCCTGATTTAAACAGCTAAATATGTTATTTCCTATGATAATACTGAATAATTTTACTTGAATTTTTGCTGAGGTTAATTTATCTGATAGCAAAAGAGCATTTTTAATATACGTTATATGACTAAAAAGGATATAACAAATATTACTTTTAAAAAGAGTAATTTATATTGGATATTTAGCCTATATATTTTATTCATAATATATCATTTTTAAGTAAATATTTGTATTTATTTTTTTTATACATTTGATTAGATGTAGGCCTAATTCAGTTGTTGTAATGGAAAATATCAGACAGCTTATTTATTATATTTTAAGATTCACTGCAGAGGGCATCAGGGATTTCTACGTTGCTTTATCTTTATCTTACAATCATAAATGCATTTACAGAGTCACGCAATCGACGTGTCTATTCTGAAACTGATCAGTACGTTGCACGGGTTTTCCGGTGAATGGTTTGAGCTCATTTGCAACGGTCTAGTTCCTCCTCTTAAAATAAAGCAACAATAACGGGGGCAGTGGCGAGGGGCAGAGAGAAATATAGACATGTTACAGTCACAAAGTCAAAAGAGTTAGTTGCACACATTTGTCTTGCGAGTGTCGGCGAGTGCTGTTCCAGCGGTTCTTTAATCCTGTATGTAAATGACAGCCAATAGATGCTGTTGTTGAGTTGGGCTGGGATTAGCGGAGGCGAATGACTTTCAATTTTACTGGATTACAGAACAAAGAAAGGGGAAAGGGACACACTCCTCTGGTAAAGAAAACAGAAAGAAAACGGGCCAAATTGATCAAATAAATCACGTCGATTGCATTTCAACAGGCTACGAACCATTCGAGATTATGTCATTTTACAAAATCGCTGTCGCCTTTCTTTAGATGGGAATTCAGCTCTCACTGTTGGATTAAACGGAGAATAAACCTATTCCGGGATTGGCAGCATAAGGTAATTAAACACGGGGAAATCGGTAAGGATTAAAGATAATTCTGTTTATGTATGTATGGAAAAAAACATGTACGAGTATCGTTCTTGAGCACGTGACTTTTTATGGATGCTGAAAAAGTGAAATTACAGATTATAATTTAGGGGGGAGGAGGATGGCTAGGAGAGTTAGCACACTGGCTATCATGCTAACGCTACGTACGCGAATCTGTGGCACTCGACGCGATGTTTTACACGCTTTTATGAAAGTAACACGCGTTATAACACGTTGTAGATAGGATAAACAATTAAACGCCTTTTCGTTCGGCGTTTTTATCTAACTGTAGCCGCGACTCGCACGTTTTGTTTGTCTTGCAAAAATGGCAACACAATTTCAGTGCTAGCAAGTTGCTGAAATAGACCAGTTGCATTGTTGGCTGGCTGATAAATTGCAGCCAGTCGTTTTTATTTCGTACTCCCTGATAAAAAAATCGCCGTGGTTGCTTGGCGTGCTCACGGACGCGTTTGTCGACCTGAGAAGGTCATGTTTACAATGTCAAATCCACCTATCAGTGGCTGCTAATCTGCGTCTACTATGAAGACCGTTTTTCTAGATTATGCATAACTGAATGTGTCCCAGTAAATTTGCTGCTGAGTAATAATATCACATGTCTCTACACTTGATCGGTTTTCCTCGAAGGACTTCTCGACTGTCAGATCCATTCATAAAGACGATGAGAGTTTATGATTTATGTCATGCTGTCCCGCTATGAGTCTGTAACCGAGACATGAACTATCCCAGAATGACTTGCTGTCGGATTGGGCCTGTATATTTACGACAGTAATAGCTGTCCGTGTTTTTCTGCACCCAGATTTTATAGCGGACACAGTTACCACCGTTGTTTACTGTACAAAACTAAATGAAAATAAGTTTTTTTTTTATTACTACCATGAACTGCATATGCAAAATTATTGCTAAAATGTAGGATGACTAGGAAGTTAATGGCAGAAGTGTGATTGAACTGTATGGAACAAACATTAGACTAATAATCCATATTACCAAGACAATTGATTGTATATTATATATATATATATATATATATATATATGCCTGATACAAAACACTTGTAATCCAATTGAGTACAAAGTTTATATCAAAGTATCTTGATTTCAGTACTTTTTGTAAAGTCGGACTCCAACAGACCTACGAATCACTGGTTAAGAACTACTGAATCAGACCTTCATCCTTCACTAACAAAAAGTAACATATTTTATGGAAATAGTGCATAGTATTCTTTCAATTACCTTCGAGTAGAATGTAAACACAGTTGTATATGAATATGGCAATCATTCAGTACCATGGTATATTTCAAAGTATCATTATTTCAGTACTTTTTTCGAGGTAAATTGCTTTAAACATTGTCATTTGACATTGGTTTAAAAAGCTGGTTTATTCACAGCTAATAATATTAAATCACATTCTGTTGAACCAGGGTTTTCAATGTTCATGTATGTCGGGTATTACATAGCAGAAACATATAGAAAGCATTTTTTCTTCCACTTAAAAAGATGATAAGCCTATTTATTTTGTAATCCTAATTAATCTTGATTATATAGTTAGTTGCATTTTAATATTTGTGTTTAATATTGGTTTACTCACTAGTAGAGAACTATTGAATCTGCCTGTGTCCTTCACTTACAAAAAGTACATTATTTTATGAACGTAGTATCATGGTATTCTTTAAATGACCTTTGTGGTAGCATGCAAATATTGTATGTTAATATGGCAGTCATTCAGTATCAAAGTATCAGAACTGAATCTTTCCTGAAGCGGATCACAATCAGGGCAGTATTTTCCCATGCAGGCCGCACTTTGTGTTTACTCGATGCAACATGTTTGTGTGGCCTTGGGGAAAATGTCCAGGGTGAAAGGAATTAAGACCAATTAAAAGTCAATTATCAGCCTTTGAGCTGAACGATTTAGATACAGTTGTGTTTCTGAAGGGATCTGTGAGCAGAATTTGTATAAAGGCTATTAGCAGAAGTATTGTGTATCAATGGCGGAGCCACAAGCCTCTTAGGGCAAAACCGCTCATAAAACCCACGTTACCCTTTCTTGAGATGCTGGTAATATCTTTAAGCACCATACGGCAGTAATTCAAGAAGTAAAGGAGCGGCTACATTATGCTTCCCCCTCGAGCTGAGGATCTCAGATAGCGTGAATGAAAAAACGGCATTTTGGCAGGGTGGACTCCTAACAAGGAGGAAGTCATTAATCTGTGCATTTAAGCATTTCAGTCCGGATCCCTACTTTTCCTGCAATTTTTTTTAGGAGTGTCACTAGTTGATTTTTTTCTAGTGTTTTTTCACCCTAAGAAAATATATTTGTTATAGTTAACTCATGTCTTTTGGCTACTGCAAAGAAAGCTTAGTGTAGAGTACAAAACAAGTCATTTATACATGAAGCTTAAGGTGTCAGATGAATGTAGTTGCCCCTGCAGATAGGATAAGCCTGTTCAATGAGGAAGTCTCACCAATCTTTTTTTCTTCAAAGAGTTTTGTTAAACTTAGAAGTGTCAAGATGAAGCTATTAAATGACCTTAACCTTTTTAACACAAGATTATTTTCTAAGGCAAGCATTGTTATTGTTATTGCTCGGGTAAGATTCAAAATGATCTACTAACCTTAAAGGGATACACTGATGAAAGTTTGGTGTAGAAACAATTTTCACTCAGAAATTGCTAGTAAATTTCACAATTAAAAATAAATAGCAGGTTACACATTATTTGCAGTGTAGATTCTGATGTCTATTATTATGCATGTCTATTATTAGGCTGATGAAGTATCAGAACATACGCTAAAAAAAAAAAAAAAAATCGGTGTATTGTTTAATTTGGATTTACTTAAAAAAATCACTTGGAAATTGCTAGTACGTTTCACAGCAGTAACACACTGAATTAAACATGAAATTTTCAAGTACACTGAAATAGCATTTTCTTGTAAATTCCAATAATCTTCATTTACAAACTAACAAACAAACACCAAAACAGTTTGCTTATCATCATTCTTCATGCAGTATATCTTCTTTTGTGCTCTGCAGAAGGAAGTTCGGTTTGACTGGTCACATTTTCTTCATAAAATGTAAAAATTGAGTTTGTTTTACTGTCTGAAAACATCCTGAATATGCAACACAAGTTGTGCCAATGCTGTACATTTACCTTAAACAATTTTCAGTAGTGCTGTCAAACGATTAATCGCATCCAAAATAAAAGTTTTTGTTTACATAATATATGTGTGTGTGCTGTGTATATTTATTATGTATATATAAATGCACACACATGCATGTATATAGTTAAGAAAAATATGTTATATTTGTATATTAAATATATTTATATATAATATAAATTATATAAATATATACAT